AAAAAAAAAGAGAGAGAGAGAGAGAGAGAGAGAGAGAGAGAGAGAGAGAGAGAGACTGCATCTGCAATATATAATTCTAATTTAAATGCAAGCGCACTGAGAAAATTGTAATGGGAAAAATGTACAATTTATTTACAATTATCAAAGGCCATATATGACTTTGCTTGTTAATGTTCCTTGGGAAAGCATTTTGTTTTCTCCCTAAGAGATTATGGTGCATGTGTACATCAGACAGTATGCTCATCGAAGAATTGTCTGATATTATAAATTGTTCATTATCATCCACAGTCAATTGAGGAGACAAGCACTTTTGAGAAACTGTAACAGTCCACAGAATAAATTATGTAAGAAACAGAAGAAACAGAAGCATCTGTATAATAATTAATATAAAAAATCGCTATTACTTGGAAATTAATTAACTTACTATCAAAAAAATTACGACAATTTTCTTTGTCTAAAGATTGAAAAATTTTGTGCAATTTTCGGAGAGGTTTGATCTTTTCCAATTGCAATGGTTCTGCGGTCACAAATTTTTCTGACATTTGTGTGCTGCAGCCTTTAGGAGATAAGTATCTTTGTTGTACAACTAAAATTATAAAAAGACTATACGATCGTAAAATTATAAAAAAGACTATTATTAGAATTTTATAGACACAAAAATAACTTACAAAATAACAAATAGAAATATATACTGCAACGACTTTTCCCTTTTCGCGGCCGAATGCTATGCGCGTTTGCCGTTTCGGTCTCTCCGTCGCGCGGATTGATGTTGCGCCGACGAACAGGAGCTAATTCGCCGAGCGGAGGACGCGAAAAAGTCGGGGACGAAAACGGAAAGGATTGGATAAAGATTAACGCGCCGGGTAGGAACGGGATGGTAAAAGTTCCGCGCGTGCCGTGACGAAATCCGAGAGATAATCGCGAAAATCGAACTTGGGCGCCAGATACGGTCTTTCACGCATCAATTCGCGAAGCGCACGAAATAAGCGCGAGCTAGACGCGAAAGAAGTTGTTGGAATTCGCTACGGGCTGGCTAGCTCGCCTAACGGTAGAGGGGCAGGGCGAGTGTTGTTCTAACGCGATAAGTTATGCAAGAGGCGACAAATAGTGGAGCGACAAACACAAGCGGCAATGAAAGACGTGAAATAAAACAAATAAAATAACGAGTTTATTATAATAGACGGGGCTAGGCCCCGCGAAAGTGATAATGGTAATGATGACCGCGCGGATATTCGGCTGCGGTAACAACGCGAGAACGAGACTGGTTCTTTTTCGGCGTTAATTACGCCTCGCACCGCGGAGTTGGCAATTAATACGTTTCGACTTTAATCCGGGTGATGACCCGATCCGATTCTCCATATCAAGCAGTGGCGGCGACCGTATCGCCCGCTATTGTTACTTAAAAACTAATACGCAACTTATATCTAACAAGCAATTCGCGAAACACGCACCTCTTTTTTTTAAATAGGGGTAAGTTTGGCTATCTCGGCTCCTATTGGTCGAATTTTTTTCCTTTTTTCTTGTGGGGATGCCACATAAAAAAAATACGCCTGAAACTGTTTTAATGTACGACAATTCACAATAAAACCGCGAATTTTCCCCACGAAAAATAGCATTTACTAGACACAGTCAACTTTGGCGCCCTCTATCTCTGGTATTTTTTGAGTCACCGCAAAAGCGGATACACGACAATTGTAGAGAATTGAGTCCTCTACAAGTTTTATTTGAATATTTTTTTGATAAAACCAACAGGGGGCAATATAATTGTCAATAAAAATGTTCAACCCTTAATTGACGGCATTTTTTTGGTTGTAACTTTTTTTCCTTGACAGCTATTAAAAAATTTTTCAAACAAAACTTGTAGCAAATATTTTTTCCTACAAAACTAAAAAAAGGAGAAAAATTCGACCAATAGGAGCCGAGATATCCAAACTTACCCCTATGTTGAAGATGGCCGCCGACGCACTGGGAAATTTTGTTGGAACTTTGTGAATTCGGGCATCTCCTATGACCTTCTACTCACCCTCAAAAAATTGACTTGTCTATCCGTTTTGTCATTTTCAGATACTATTTCACTGGACTATTAGGATAATTCTTATTATTATAATTTTTATTTATTCATACAAAACTTTATATTTGCGTCATTTCTTTTCTTTTCTTTTCTTTTTTTATTATTAAAGAGAAATTAACTATCGAACTGATTCCTTTCAATAACAAACCACTTTTTACTAATCTCGACGTACGTTTCCTAGTGGAAACCACGAAACAAAATCCCAAATCTATTTCTGCGAAATCGAAACTCTGGGCAAAGACTGCGAGAAATAGAAAAAATCGCACGATAAGGAAGCTTCTGGCTCGGGCGTCCGCAGATCCTAGATTTATTATAGACTATAAAAAATTAAACTTAGATAAGTATTTGTTCAATTTAGGAGTCCAACATTTATACAACATTCAACAACCACACAATACACAACCTTGTCCCTCTACTTCTTCTCCTCATTGTACTCCCCCTTCTTATTCACCGGTTTCTTCCCTCGAGCGTCCTCATTCACCTACTCCTCTTGAGCATCAACCTTCAAGAATTCCTACTCCTCCTCCTCCCTTTGAATATTCACCTTCTCTCGACCATCAACCGTCGAGAATTTCTACTCCCCCCCCCCCCTTTAAATATTCACCTTCTCTCAACCATCAACCGTCGAGAATTCCCACTCCCCTTCTTCCCTCCGAATATTCACCTTCTGTCGACCATCAACCGTTGAAAAATCCTACCCCACCACTCCTCTTCACACCACGCTAAAAAAAAAAAGAAAGATTCGACCAATAGGAGCCGAGATATCCAAACTTACCCCTATTTTGAAGATGGCCGCCGACGCACAGGAAAATTTTGTTGGAACATTGTGAATTCATCTCCTATGACCTTCTACTCACCCTCAAAAAATTGACTTGTCTATCCGTTTTGTCATTTTCAGATACTATTTCACTGGACTATTAGGATAATTCTTATTATTATAATTTTTATTTATTCATACAAAACTTTATATTTGCGTCATTTCTTTTCTTTTCTTTTCTTTTTTTATTATTAAAGAGAAATTAACTATCGAACTGATTCCTTTCAATAACAAACCACTTTTTACTAATCTCGACGTACGTTTCCTAGTGGAAACCACGAAACAAAATCCCAAATCTATTTCTGCGAAATCGAAACTCTGGGCAAAGACTGCGAGAAATAGAAAAAATCGCACGATAAGGAAGCTTCTGGCTCGGGCGTCCGCAGATCCTAGATTTATTATAGACTATAAAAAATTAAACTTAGATAAGTATTTGTTCAATTTAGGAGTCCAACATTTATACAACATTCAACAACCACACAATACACAACCTTGTCCCTCTACTTCTTCTCCTCATTGTACTCCCCCTTCTTATTCACCGGTTTCTTTCCCCGAGCGGTCTCATTCACCTACTCCTCTTGAGCATCAACCTTCAAGAATTCCTACTCCTCCTCCTCCCTTTGAATATTTACCTTCTCTCGACCATCAACCGTCGAGAATTCCTACTCCCCCTCCTCCCTTTAAATATTCACCTTCTCTCAACCATCAACCGTCGAGAATTCCCACTCCCCTTCTTCCCTCCGAATATTCACCTTCTGTCGACCATCAACCGTTGAAAAATCCTACCCCACCACTCCTCTTCACACCACGAATCGTCCGATCTCCCAGGAGCGTTTTTGAGGAAGCCCTCCAATACTTCGTGGAGGAATTTCCAAATCTCAAAGAGGAACCGGAAGATCCCGAAAAGAGATCTTTCGATACCGAAGGAGAGTTCGAGTTCCACGAAGAACAGGCTAGAGAAAATTGGTTCCGGTATCTCCTGGAACAGTTCCCTCCATATCTCGATCCTCTTCCTGAAGGAAGTTACCGCGTAGACCCAGACTTTGCAGACCTTGATTTATTCCGTTATATCCTTAGTGTAAGTTCTCCCGGGTCTATTATCTCGTTTTTTATCCCAGGTTATCAACCTTCAATAGGCGTTCCTGTAAAAGCCTTTTGAATGAAGTTTCCTCCCCCCTCCACAGTAAAACTTGAATATCTCCCATAATATTATTTTTCTTTCTTTCCCATTCATCTTTTTTTCTTTTCTTTATTTTATAACTTAAATTATATAATTAAAACTATTTATTGTAAATTACCAAACGGCATTTAAATTTTAGTCTTTCCCCTCTTCATTCCAGTTGATGCCTTCCGTATCAATGTATCACCCGAAAAAGAACATCTCTCATTCACACACACACACACGCACGCACGCACGCACGCACGCAAGCACGCACGCACGCAAGCACGCACGCAAGCACGCATTCATGTAATACTTAATATTAAACATTTAAATAATGTATTTTATCTTTTAAAATTTCTTTGTTTTTTGAATAAATTGTAAGATTTAACTTTAAATCAGAGTAGCTTATTAACCCGTTTTCCTTCCCGTACCCCCGAGATCGCACAAGGTCCTATCCTGCGTAACAGGGATTCAGTTCCCTTACTGAAAAGGGACCACCGAACGAAACGGCCTACTGACAGAGTAAGAGCGACCTTTCCGACCGTTGACCTGTCTAAGTACCCTGTATTGTTCGTTCGACTCGGAAACACTTGTTTTGCAAAAGAAAGAGAGAGTGTGTTTCGAGGTAAGTATAAGTTGCGTTCCATCCCGACTCAATTCTCCAGGAGTCCGGACGTAACAAATGCATACAAATGCTTCCTCATTATCCGGAAAAAAACACATTTATAAAAAAAATGTTTAATTTTATAAGCCGTTCTGTGACTTTGTAAACGAGAAACTTTTATAATTCCAAGTTCAGAAGATGCAATAGGAAAATTATAATAACCTTTTTGTTCTAAAAACTTACATCTCATTAGGAAAATCCGATTCTGAGGTGTTTGGATGGTATTGTTCAAGATTATGATATCTCCACATTTAGTTTTGAAACAGCTGTTTGCCTCGTTTTTAGTAAGAGTAACACCATATAAAACAACAGTCTGAAACTGTTCTCCCACAAAATTGTTATCTCCAAAATTGTTATACTGATTTTCCAACAAAATTTTATTGCGCTTATCTGTGTCCTTCTTTGGAACGAGCCGTCCTCTGGTTTCTGCATCACGTCTAATTAACTGGTGTAAAAGCTTGTAAGTTGATCTCAAATATCGTTTCATAATGCCCATAAGTTTTCATACTTAAAAGCACTAAATGATTCCAAACTTCCATGGTTTCGATAATAATCGACTAAATGAATCAGACAATGAACGTTGTAAACAACGAAACATTTACCAAAAATCTGGGAAGAGTGTTTTACAAATTCTTTTAAAATTTCTTCAACAACATTGAGCATAATTGAATTTTGTACTACAGTTGGACTGGACAGTATATATATTCCACTATGTAGAAGTAAATAATTCTTATGTGTATTGGGAGGTAGAGTGTTCTTAAAGATTCGCAAACCGTCATACAATAAGATACGCCGCAATTCTGTTGCTTTATACTTAAATATTTCATAGAAAGATTGAGGTCGACGATTGAACTCCATAGACATCCAAGGACTACAACCTAACATTTCTACAAATAAATGAGATTTAGCTCTATTATTAATTTTGCCTATTGCTACAATCATTCCAAAGAGAAACTATAATCATCGTTTAAAAACTCCTGCATATACTCATGCACCGGATCAAGCCTGAATGAAGATACCATTTCACATTGCATATCACGTTCTAAAGATAAATTGTACTTATGATGTTCTGGTTGGTCTCTATTCTGAAATGACTCATCCGTACTTAGAGGTCATCATCATGTAAAAACATTTGACGATTCCTATATCTAACGCCTTTAACTTTCGCAGCAAAATGTACTGTTATGATTGTGAATGCCCTTAACAAATTGTCTAGCTGGAGCATTTAAAATATAATTACCTACGCTGAAAGTAATATTTTTACCATAGAAATCATAACCATTAGTAGTCAAATTTTTAACTTCTTCAATAAAATCAGATAAATATCCTTCTAAATCATCGGAATTTGAATACCCATATCATATACTAATAATAAGAGGAAATTTAGGTCGCCATTAAGGCAACCTAAAATTGGCCAAAATTCATCATCTGTACTCTTATGTAATTAGACACTATCGATATTAATGTCCACCACAATTTGATTTTTCTTTTGCAGATAGTCATCAGTTAATATTTCATCAAAGTTAATCTTGATACTTTTATACCACATTATGCCTTGACCAACTTCTTTAACATTTACAGTACGAAGACTATGAACAATTGTTTTATATGATTTTGGCAAACCAGGGAAAAAAACTCGCAACCCTGCTAAAAGCTTATCCACTTTTTTGAATGATATATCTCGAATACCCCACTCTGTTAAGAAGTTCAATAAATATGCCTCTATATCATGAATAAGACGATCTCTCAAATATTCAATGTCACATTTAATTTCATCTTCTAATTCATCACTGCTATTGTGTTCACTATATTCAGCATCTTCAGTTTCATGACATAGATTACGTACTAATACATCTTTTACAATTAAATTATTATCCTGAACGTTATTGCTTTCATCAATACGTAAAGTAGGTAAAACACGAGAAACGTTACAGCATGCTCCATGAAATACATCTAATATATCTTCTATCTCAGTCAATTGATCTTGAATTTTAGCTTCACGGAAACGTTTAGCATTGACTTTAGAAGTTTGAGCATATAATTTTCTTTTCATGACCTATAACCCAAAATAAAATGTATTAACATTGCAATTCATATAATCTTAAAGTAATTCATTAAGTTGAGTCTGCTACTGTACATTTTGTTTGTAGTATTAATGGAAAAAATCAAATATAATAAATGCATGTTTTTTCAAATTTGATAGAAGCAAATTGAACATTACCTTTTATTAACACCTATTATCGTGAAATGTTTAATGTATCCTACAAATTTACCACCTCATTGATAAAGAAAATATATTAAAATATTAAACATTTGAGATCAAGTGTAACCTATAAGAATGACGAAGTATTTTATGAAATAAAATAGATTAGAGTTATAATAAAAAGAAATGTGTCACAAGGAACGAATAGATGAATAAGAAGATAATGGTCTTAATAAGTTAAATTTTGTCGTGCAACATTTAGTAGATGCCAGGAAAGAAAGTTATGAAAAATACGCAAAGCGAGATCCACTTACCTCTTTCTTAAACTTTTTCGACATTTTGGTATTATTATCTTGTGTCTTTTTTAATTTTCTATTAATAGTACGTCTGTTATTAACTTTTTCTACATCTCGTATTAGTACCACCACATCTGTATTAATACACCTTTTCTTTTACAACAATCACAATATTTTTATATAAATTCCGGAAACACTTAACTATACGTCGTCACACTTTAACGCCTTTAACGAATGTAAGTGCTGTTAACTTGCGAATAAGATCGTGCACGCAATGCATTTGTGACATGCGCACATTGGCCGCGTTCAGCAGAGGAGACCGCTTAGTAGCAATTGAACGTGATTGGCTCTTACTTTTAGAACCAACAAATCAACGTCGAGTATTGACAAGACGATAATTGATGAGCGCTTTCTCTGCTGAACGCGGCCATTGGTTCTCACGTAAATTTGTATACGAACATTCGTTTAAAAAATTGAAGGTGACCTTGCTTTTTTACGGAAAAGAAAATGTTTGGTCAATTTTTATTATTGCAATTTGTTGCCGGTTAGAAACTGATAAATTTCTGTTTATGACTTTTTTATGTCAGATTATTGTAAGTGCCTTAAAAATCGTGGCGACCGTTACGAGGATCACCCTGTATATGAATAATCAAACACCCTGATCTTCTTGTGACTATTCTTATATCATACATTTTCATAATAATAAGCATATAGTATATAGAGAAACGTACACCATATTTTCTAAAAATCATCTGAGATCGAGATTTGAATAATGATCAAAAAATGACATAATTTGGTCAATATGATATGAAATTAACATCATTTTGACTTTTCTGTTCTCCTTGGGTTATCGCTTATCAATTATAACTTTGATTTTCCAATATAATTTTTATATATTGTTATCTATGAATCACAAAAATGTCCAAAACGTACATAATTAATGCATACTTATCAATGAAATTAAACAACAAAAAATTTGCGCACCAATAACCGTGCCTTGCTCTTATTCGCTAATTTCCTCACTTAATATCGTCTTTATTAATTAAAACTTAAAATTAAACAGATTATATATTATATGCATATCACGCATGCAACAACGTAAATTAAAAATAACTAAAACGAATTATTATTTAATTCATATCGTCATAAAATGTTACAATACAACGAAATCAGTACAGTGGTGACTATTATTATTCTAATTTACAGATGCTTTTTTCATCTTTTTTACTTTTGCTTCTTGAGAGGAATGCCAAAGCTTAAATTAAGCCTGATTAATTTTAATTATTTTCAAATATATTCCACCCTTTGGTGCTAATAGAAACGCTTTAGGATCAATTACATAGGGTATTTGCGTTTTATCGCAAGTTTTGACTTTATAATTTCGTAGTATCCTTATAAGACCAATCTTTGTCTGATAAACAGCGAAGCGAGCACCTGAAAATAAAAAAAAAAATTATTACAAAAAAAGTTTTTTGACTAAAACAATTTTTCGTGTAAAAGCAAAATGAACGGAACTTGAAGGAAATGAATATAAATCTACATATTTCACTTTACCAATGCAATTTCTTGGTCCATCACCAAAAGGTAAATAATGCATCGCATGCCTGGCTTGCACTACTTCGTTCGTAAATCTTTTTGGATCGAAAACATCTGGCTGCGGATAAATATCTGGATCTCGATGAATAGCGAAAACCGGAATCCACACCTTTTGGTCTTTTGGTATATTTAATGTGATACCATCGAAAGTATAACTTGATGTAGATTGTCTCATAAGAAATGTCGCTGGCGGATATTTTCGTAAAGTTTCTACATATATTAAAAACAATATAAGGAATAATTACTTGAAGAGTTATTTGTGAAATATAAATTATAGAAATGCATGTATATCTATTAAAAATTAATATTAATAATATTAATTTAATAATTAGGAAGAATTACTTGAAGAATTATTTGTGAAATATAAGTTATAGAAATGCACGTATATCTATTAAAAATTAATATTAATAATATTAATTTAATAATTAGGAAGAATTACTTGAAGAATTATTTGTGAAATATAAGTTATAGAAATGCACGTATATCTATTAAAAATTAATATTAATAATATTAATTTAATAATTAGGAAGAATTACTTGAAGAATTATTTGTGAAATATAAGTTATAGAAATGCACGTATATCTATTAAAAATTAATATTAATAATATTAATTTAATAATTAGGAAGAATTACTTGAAGAATTATTTGTGAAATATAAGTTATAGAAATGCACGTATATCTATTAAAAATTAATATTAATAATATTAATTTAATAATTAGGAAGAATTACTTGAAGAATTATTTGTGAAATATAAGTTATAGAAATGCACGTATATCTATTAAAAATTAATATTAATAATATTAATTTAATAATTAGGAAGAATTACTTGAAGAATTATTTGTGAAATATAAGTTATAGAAATGCACGTATATCTATTAAAAATTAATATTAATAATATTAATTTAATAATTAGGAAGAATTACTTGAAGAATTATTTGTGAAATATAAGTTATAGAAATGCACGTATATCTATTAAAAATTAATATTAATAATATTAATTTAATAATTAGGAAGAATTACTTGAAGAATTATTTGTGAAATATAAGTTATAGAAATGCACGTATATCTATTAAAAATTAATATTAATAATATTAATTTAATAATTAGGAAGAATTACTTGAAGAATTATTTGTGAAATATAAGTTATAGAAATGCACGTATATCTATTAAAAATTAATATTAATAATATTAATTTAATAATTAGGAAGAATTACTTGAAGAATTATTTGTGAAATATAAGTTATAGAAATGCACGTATATCTATTAAAAATTAATATTAATAATATTAATTTAATAATTAGGAAGAATTACTTGAAGAATTATTTGTGAAATATAAGTTATAGAAATGCACGTATATCTATTAAAAATTAATATTAATAATATTAATTTAATAATTAGGAAGAATTACTTGAAGAATTATTTGTGAAATATAAGTTATAGAAATGCACGTATATCTATTAAAAATTAATATTAATAATATTAATTTAATAATTAGGAAGAATTACTTGAAGAATTATTTGTGAAATATAAGTTATAGAAATGCACGTATATCTATTAAAAATTAATATTAATAATATTAATTTAATAATTAGGAAGAATTACTTGAAGAATTATTTGTGAAATATAAGTTATAGAAATGCACGTATATCTATTAAAAATTAATATTAATAATATTAATTTAATAATTAGGAAGAATTACTTGAAGAATTATTTGTGAAATATAAGTTATAGAAATGCACGTATATCTATTAAAAATTAATATTAATAATATTAATTTAATAATTAGGAAGAATTACTTGAAGAATTATTTGTGAAATATAAGTTATAGAAATGCACGTATATCTATTAAAAATTAATATTAATAATATTAATTTAATAATTAGGAAGAATTACTTGAAGAATTATTTGTGAAATATAAGTTATAGAAATGCACGTATATCTATTAAAAATTAATATTAATAATATTAATTTAATAATTAGGAAGAATTACTTGAAGAATTATTTGTGAAATATAAGTTATAGAAATGCACGTATATCTATTAAAAATTAATATTAATAATATTAATTTAATAATTAGGAAGAATTACTTGAAGAATTATTTGTGAAATATAAGTTATAGAAATGCACGTATATCTATTAAAAATTAATATTAATAATATTAATTTAATAATTAGGAAGAATTACTTGAAGAATTATTTGTGAAATATAAGTTATAGAAATGCACGTATATCTATTAAAAATTAATATTAATAATATTAATTTAATAATTAGGAAGAATTACTTGAAGAATTATTTGTGAAATATAAGTTATAGAAATGCACGTATATCTATTAAAAATTAATATTAATAATATTAATTTAATAATTAGGAAGAATTACTTGAAGAATTATTTGTGAAATATAAGTTATAGAAATGCACGTATATCTATTAAAAATTAATATTAATAATATTAATTTAATAATTAGGAAGAATTACTTGAAGAATTATTTGTGAAATATAAGTTATAGAAATGCACGTATATCTATTAAAAATTAATATTAATAATATTAATTTAATAATTAGGAAGAATTACTTGAAGAATTATTTGTGAAATATAAGTTATAGAAATGCACGTATATCTATTAAAAATTAATATTAATAATATTAATTTAATAATTAGGAAGAATTACTTGAAGAATTATTTGTGAAATATAAGTTATAGAAATGCACGTATATCTATTAAAAATTAATATTAATAATATTAATTTAATAATTAGGAAGAATTACTTGAAGAATTATTTGTGAAATATAAGTTATAGAAATGCACGTATATCTATTAAAAATTAATATTAATAATATTAATTTAATAATTAGGAAGAATTACTTGAAGAATTATTTGTGAAATATAAGTTATAGAAATGCACGTATATCTATTAAAAATTAATATTAATAATATTAATTTAATAATTAGGAAGAATTACTTGAAGAATTATTTGTGAAATATAAGTTATAGAAATGCACGTATATCTATTAAAAATTAATATTAATAATATTAATTTAATAATTAGGAAGAATTACTTGAAGAATTATTTGTGAAATATAAGTTATAGAAATGCACGTATATCTATTAAAAATTAATATTAATAATATTAATTTAATAATTAGGAAGAATTACTTGAAGAATTATTTGTGAAATATAAGTTATAGAAATGCACGTATATCTATTAAAAATTAATATTAATAATATTAATTTAATAATTAGGAAGAATTACTTGAAGAATTATTTGTGAAATATAAGTTATAGAAATGCACGTATATCTATTAAAAATTAATATTAATAATATTAATTTAATAATTAGGAAGAATTACTTGAAGAATTATTTGTGAAATATAAGTTATAGAAATGCACGTATATCTATTAAAAATTAATATTAATAATATTAATTTAATAATTAGGAAGAATTACTTGAAGAATTATTTGTGAAATATAAGTTATAGAAATGCACGTATATCTATTAAAAATTAATATTAATAATATTAATTTAATAATTAGGAAGAATTACTTGAAGAATTATTTGTGAAATATAAGTTATAGAAATGCACGTATATCTATTAAAAATTAATATTAATAATATTAATTTAATAATTAGGAAGAATTACTTGAAGAATTATTTGTGAAATATAAGTTATAGAAATGCACGTCTATTAAAAATTAATATATTAGCAATAAAACTATTGATATTATAATAATGCTAAAAAAATCAGTACATCTTTCTTTTATTAAATTTTTTTCTTCGAATAACGTACCTTTGAAAACTTTGTCCAAGTAATTCATCTTTTTTACGTTCTCATATGTTAAATTGCTACCGTGCTTAGTGTACTCTTCATCAATTTCCTCACGTAGCTTGTCTTGTATTTCCTGATTTAATGCCAACTCGTAAAGAGTGTTACTCATGGTCGTCGATGAAGTTTCAAAGCCGGCAAGGAAAAATACGAATGCTTGAGAAGCTATCAAGCTTTCAGTCATCTCTGAAATGAGATATTTTCTTTTTACGAATAATTCTATTTCTTGTCAAATATTAAAAATTATGAATAATCCATCTATTTAACAATTAATATACAGTAAATTAATATTTTGTATACGCAGAAACTCATAAATCTTTCTATTTATAAAGATTTCGCATTATATGAAATATTCATAAGAACAAACAGTCGTTACTCACTAATATCGCCTACTTTATCCGGATTTTTTTTCAATTCGCGAAGCATATCAATGAAATCGTGCCTAATGACATTATTCGTTTCTCTATAGTTCATGGTTTCTACGACGACGCGTGTGAAAAATTTGGTGACCTCCGTTTGTGCTATAATGTAACTGAGCATTTCATAGAGCCATGGCAGAGATTGTCTCAATCTCATTCGCAGAGTATTTTTCCAGGTTGGCGTAAAGACCATTCTTCCCATTCTACGAAATTCGCTGTCTTCGTCCGACAGAGCGTTCATCTCGATGCCGAAGGCGCAAGTTCCGATTACATCGGTCGTATACTTAGCCGTCAATTCGCGACATTCTATAGGCTCGTTTTTGTTCACTAGTTTTTCTATGTATTGTTCAAGATGCTCAGCGCATTCCGATATTAAAGAGAACATCTCCTTTAGTTTTCCGGACGTAAAAACGGGCGACAGCTTTACTCTTAAAGGTCGCCATCTTCTAGACTCCAAAGCGAAAAGATGTTGCGACAGTGGGTCAACCTGCAAAATAATGAGCATAATTATAATCGAGTAAATTTTTCAATTTAAGAAGACATTTTGCTGGATTAGAACAACTTGATTGAGAAGAAACTCAAGACTATTTAAAACTAATATCACGATTTTTAATAATCTTAATTATTGGAAAAATATAGTAGCGTGCCGAAGTTATTGAAACACATTTATATAATTCAAATATTATTATACAATTTGAAATATTTGCACATACTTTTTCACTAATAGGAATTCCTCTGTCGGCAAACTTGATAAAATCTTTGATAAGAATATCCTTAATGAATTCTGGATCTTTTACAATAAGAACAGGTGTCTTCCTAGCGAATATTCCAATCATGGATTCATCTTTGTACTTGTTGTATATTTCCATTAAATAATCACCTGTGGCTTTTTTATTAAGCATAACATCTTTAAAATTACCAAAAATCGGTATTGGTTGTGGACCGCGAATGCCACGTGACTTCCAAAAATCGAAGGTCGATGTAAAATAATAATAAACAGCGAGAAGTACGGCAGCAATACCGCACAGTATTTCAAAAGATTCCATTGTCCTGCAGCTGCCAATCAATTATCTCGAGCGATGTTTGCTAAAAAAGAAAAAATAATATTTCATTAAAAAAAGGTTGTTTGAAAAAATTAAAAATTTAATAAAAAAGTTTGATAAGCCAAATACATATTTAACGAAATATAAATTTATGACAATTAATTTTTTAATTAGATTTTATCAATATCAGAAAGATCGATAAATCATTTATATAGATATGTATAAGATCTATGTATGTATATGTACATACAATACATACATAGATCTTATATCTATGGGTATCTCTCTTATCTATCTCATCTATGGATATGTATGATTATGCATAAAATATCGAAGTACAGATCGCAATATAAAAATTTTCTTTCGAAAAAGATGCTAAACAAATGTTTTCAAATTATTGAGAAAAATAAGATAAAAGTGGTGCAAATTAAAAATTTGCACATTGTTTCTTCATCATTTTATTTCGCTTACAAAGCTTAAGCTCCATAAAGCAAGCAAATTTTTCAATTTTAGCTTCCTCATAGAGGAAGATATCTTAAAATTTGCGAAAATTACAGCGTATACAGACATTTCTCAAAAAATTTAGAATTTTATAAAAAATGAACACTTTTACCGATCCTCACCAAATTCAATACCAACCATCCTTTAATGATATTCTGTTCATTTAAAAAAATTTAGCTCGATATCTCAAAAATTGTGAAAGTTAGAGGTTGTACAATGTACATTCCGTACATACGTATATACATACATACATACATACATACATATATACATATAAATATTTTTAAAAATATGATTTTTTGACGTTTTAGAATATTTTAAAGACATTGATATAGAAAACTGAAAAAAAAATTTTGTCATGAAAACAAAGCTTCTTCTATGAGGAAGCAAAATGATACAGCTTCGTTAAATGTAGCGCGCTCAAACTATGTGTGTATGTGTGTATGTGTGTGAAACTGTCATGTATAAATTATATTTTATTTAAAACTCACCAATTAATACCAACGACTAGCAATAATAAATAATAAATAAGATTTTATTTTATGATTTTAATAAATTGCATAACCTCACGATCTGTCTCATGCCACAAATATTTGTCTTTGTGTACCCGATTATAATTTAAATAAAGAAAAAAATTTTATGCGCATTTAGCTCAAACTTACCACGTTGAAATCAAACGAACGAGAATGAAGAAATCATTTCTTCACCTTAATATACTATATCATAGAAATGAAAGAGTGCTGTGTCGAGCTGTAGTATCTAGTAGTAAAGTGGGGATAAAGTAGGCGATATGGTAGGAGCGGACAGACACAACAAATAAAAAAGTTTGCAAAGATAATCAATCATACATCTGACACTCATTCTGTATAAAGTTTGAAATTAAAAAATGTGCTTTAAGAATGAAAACTCGTCGCGTACTATTACAAATTTGAATTAATACGACGTAATAAAATGAATAATGAATACCCTTCACCAGCAATACCACACAACCATAAATGTATCAAACTGACGTCAGTGTATATCACGTGATGTTTTCGTTTGTGTACACTGTACACTAGCGGACCGGTCACTATTTTCGATAAATTATCTATCGATATATCGATATATCGATATATCGAGTTACATTTTTTTCGTCCACAAATGAACGAAGTCCGCGGAGAGATCTGATCATGAAATACGAAAATTGAAGACATTCTCTCTCGAAGAACGGAGTATACGTACATTAGGAAGTGACTGATTGAGTGACCTCTTTCACAAAAAAGGATGCAAAGATAAAATTATCTTTCAAAATATTATTATTCTTACGATAGTTGAAATATTTTACTTAACGCGACAAACAATATCCAAATAAACGACGAATATGACGTACTTAAAAGCGATGGTAACGTAATTGGTAATTGCAGCAGCTGACACATCCGTAGCTATTCCAGCCGACCAACTTGCAATGATGTCAGTGGAAAGAATACTGGCCCCTGTGGTCCAAGTTAGATTAAATTATAAGTGCCACCGCAAGGAGATGCGTGAACGAAGATATGAGTCACGATGAATTGCAGAAACTATATCATTAAGATTCATCTCAAGCGCAAAATATCGAATGACTTTGCAAATCATAATACCTAGAAGTATTAATTGATTAGATAACCTTTCTTAATCATACTACACACTATATGTACTATATGCTGATATACATGTATGCTGCAACGCAATTAGTGAAATTAACTCAAAAGATAATTATCAATCGTTTTTCGGTTGTATAACTTGTTAACTACCTAATTGTGTGAGACATGGAATATGAAATACATTATATCAAATATTTTGAACTAACAATTAACTTTTTACATTGTTTTAACTAGATTACGGATTATGAATTATAAGAGAAAATGGCTCTTTAAAAATAAATTGTAATAAAAACAAATTTTTTTAAAATATGTAAAATAAAGTGTATCTATTATTTGAATTTGTCAATTTAAAGCATACATTCTATTAATTATTTTGTTTACATTTTAGACTTAATTAATACAATCTACGTGATTCTTTGTCATTCTTTGTGATTCTAAGTCATTCTTTGGGATATGCATGTATACATTAGACTTACAATTTACTATCATTCTTATCATTTTTATCACTTTAAGAAATGTTAGGTTTTCTTGAATTGACAGAATTGAAATAGTCATATATATGTATATATGTATATGGATGTCCCATTTTAACTTTTGCACCATAATATCTTGAGAACCATACATTTTCAAAAAAAAAAAAAAATGTTTCAGACAAAAGTTATTTGACTCGGAGGGGAACATAAGAAGGTGCTATTAGTTCGACTTTGGATAGTCGTTTGAAGGTCATGTGAAGGTCATCTTTAATTTCTTAAATGGAAATCCCCATTTTATATTACATATTCTTATAGCTTAGCTTTTTATAAACAAAATTATTACCTTATTTCTCTTCTTTGACTAATGCTTAACATTTCTATTTCAGGCTCTAATTCTGATGCTTTCAATTCAACTGTCTATTTTATTTTACTGTAATATTTTTGATAAAATTCCCACAAGATTTGTTTTGTTATTTAACATAACATGCAACTTATTACTTAGCTATTTGTAAATGACCTAAAAATATTAATTACGCATTAATTACATTTATATATAAAATCTAAATAAACATTCACACGTTTCCAAAAGTAAAAGTTACGAATAATTCCAGATCCACAAAATGTTTGTAGTTTATAGAAGTGCTTCGATATGATTTTATCATTTCATTATTCTTTATGCCAATTAAAAATGTGTATTTAATGCTGTTGTTTTTATGATATTTTTGGTAGAATTCTCATAAAATTATTTTGCTATTAACATAAACTCATTGCTTAGCCATATGTAAGTTAACTTAAAAATATTAATTATGCATTAATTACATCTAAATGTAAAATTAAATAAACATTATATACGAATGCGCGTTCGCGAGTATAATTACTAACTTATCGTTTGAAAAACATGGTCAGCCAAAATCTTCCATAATCATTTTTCAACAATGTATTTATGACAAATATGTTAATTGACAATGCACAGATTCATTTAAATGTAAATATTCGCTCAGTTTCGCTAATATAATCTAACTTTGTTCAATATGACATCAATTAGAAGAAATCACTTCCCTTCCTTGCACTATTCCGCGATATTCTTAATAACCACTTTATTACTTTTCTTCTTGTGTTGCACTATTCCGCGATATATAAACATATTTAATAAATCAATAAATGCAAAAAATATTTGATCTCTTTTGGTTATATCATTTATTAGAATACATTTTAAAAGGAATTATATATTATTAAAATGTATGCGTTTATTCAATAGAATGGACTTGTGCCATATTCATATTAAATGTATGAATAAGAAACAAATCCATCTTTTTTGTAATAAAAACAATTTTCTTGCTATTGTTTTCTATATTTTGACATTTATTCACTTACGATGTGATCGACGTTATTGCAGTAAGGGTTAAGTAGTTTTATGAAGTACTATTTGTAACAAAACCCGCAATATAATTGTGCTAGTTTATATATTATATATAATATTTTGGGGGGAGGGGGGGACATAATAGCGTAATTTTATAAAAATAAAATGCATTTTAATTTTCTCGAGAAAATCTATAATATTTCTATAAACGCAAGACTGATTTTATCAAACAAATACTATTTCATATTACAAACTCTCACAAACTGAACTGCTTCTATGTACTTGGTTAGTTAACTTGATTTCATATTTAGTTTTGATTTTTGATTTTTTAAAGGTTTTTATTTT